CCGTGTGCAAGTTGCGCACGTTAAAGATCCCTTGGTGGTCTAAAATCGATAAGAGTAGGCTTCGTCCGCCACCCGGGCAAAATTCAAAATTTCCTACTAACTGAAAATATTAGGTGTGTCCCGCGCACTCATATGACCTTATGCAGTTGCGAGCGCCGTAAAACACTTTACAAAAACTAAAAACAAAACGAATCATGGACCTTGACGGCAGAGCTTCAGAGGAAGATCCAAGCAGCCGAAATGAGATACTTTAGATTTAGACGACTCTTTGGCCTCTCCTACAATGACCACGTCACAAATGAGGAAGTGTGCAGTAGAGGGAAACAACACAGGAGTCACTATTTACACTTGCTGTGTGGATGGTTGGCGGGTGCTCTGGTGTGGTTTGCTCCTTCTTTCCTATCAAACATCTATCGTCCTCATCTCCTCCTTTCTTCTTTTTTAAAAATCTTTGTTACTCTCTTGTAATACCTCTAATCTTCTGGCGCTCATATGACCTTATGCAGTTGCGAGTGCCGTAAAACCTCTACTGAAACTTTAAAAAAGACTTGCTGTCTACTGTGAAGCGTAGAAAACTGAACATTCACGTTCCTTTATTTTTCTTGGGTTTTTTTTTCCGCGTTCCCTCATTTTCGAGGGTGCAGTGGCGGAGCGGTTAGTGCGCTCGTCTCCGAAGTCGAAAATCCAGGTTCGAGCCTCGGTTCGGACACGGATTCTTTTCACCCCCTCCTGCCCACCCAGCAGTAATGGGTACTTGACTTCCAGTTGGGGAAGTAAAGGCGGCGTGGAAAGGAACTGGCCACCCTACCACAATATGTCGATGGCCCAGGAAGTTGTCTCACAAACAAGACAACCCCCAATGTCCGGATCGGATGCGGGAACAACTTTACTTTACTTATCCTCTTTTTCAACGTTTATTTCGCCTCTCCTCATGTGTCCCGTTTATTTCGCCTCTCCTCATGTGTCCCGTTTATTTCGCCTCTCCTCATGTGTCCCGTTTATGGCACGTTCTCTGATTTTTCACGTTTCTTCCTTTCCCCAGAGAGAATGTTCTGGAACGATCAAGCGGCATCGACGAACAAGGCGCCTTCCGCTGGCAGCTTCTGCTCATCCTGCTGTTATGTTGGGTCGTCGTCTACTTCTGCATCTGGAAGGGTCCAAAGTCTACCGGAAAGGTAAGTTCTTCTTCTTCATCGTCGTCGTCGTTGTCGTCGTCATCATCGTCTTCAATTTCATCTTCATCATCATCTTCATCATCATCATCATCATCATCATCATCATCATCATCATCATCATCATCACTGCGTTTCTCACCCTGCACCAGGATATAGGCCATGAACAAACACTTTCCACCTTTCCCTATCCTGGGCTGACTTCTTGATAGTATTCCCACTTTTCTGTCTATCATTCTCTGTGAGTGGGCGGTTGGCGGGTGCTCTGGTGTGGTTT